TATAGGGACACTAACTGCTGGCTTCATCAATGGCGACCGTTCCTTTCTGGGTACTGTTGCCAACAACTATATGCGCAACACTATTTTACAGCTCTGAGTATACTTTTAAGTTAACTTAAGTTCTCATACTTAGCTTTGTCTTAGCTGTAAACACATCAGTACTGGATTGTATATGCATGAATCTGACAGCCGCGTGTGACTTAACCGTGTGCTTTGTATAGGTATCGGAGACTGGCGAAGAGTCCTTCAAATTGGATACGAGCGAATTTTGGATCTCGAATGATGTCGATACAATTGCAGAAGAAAGGTACGTCCGTAAGTTGCTGTGTGGGTAAGCGCAAGAACTCCAAAGCTAACAGGCGATGGGATTGTCGTGAATGCTTTATCTAGTCAGTTGTGTGCACGAATTTCATATGCTATGCGTCGCCATGCCCCGCAGATGTGGGAGAGTTGACAAGCCTCTAGTTGACAGTATACATACTATAGTGCCCGGATTTTCACGGTGCCGGTCTGATACGTTTCTTGTTTTTATACTCTCATTCATATGCTTTCCGTAAGTACTATATCGACTGATTGAGATGATCTCATTCCAGCAGTAGTCGAGCGTTTGGGCCGGTTAAGGCTGAACAGATAGTGGGGCGCGTACTGACCGTGGTGGATAACAACTACGTTCGACGCAGTCTGGTGGTCAACAGTCCCAAAGGTATGAGATCGCGCGCCTCTATTGAAATGTGTATATTGGCTTCGGTTTCTTCGCAGGGACTTCCCTCGTTATTTAGTTGGTGTGTATTGCTTTTTTTTTTAAATCATCGGGGATGTCGGTGGCGACTCGGAAGCCGAACGATGAATATGCATTCGTGTTCGGGATGACCAATTGTTGAGCAAATGACCTCTTCGGATTGTGTGTCAATCACGTTTGTCGTAGCCGCATTGCCCCCATCCAGCTTAGACTATCTTTGGCACGTATGTTTAGTATGGGATCTGCCTATTACATTTACGTGTACTTCTATTCACGTTTGTTGGTGGTCTCAACGGCGCGTTCAGAATCCGCTCTTGCATGGGTTATATCTCTGTCTGTTTATAAAACAAACCTTAGTGCACGAGAGCTCCTATTATGTTCACAGACTTTGCTTTGTTTGTGCACTCACAGCGACTCATGCAGGTGGTCCGATAATTCCCAAGTACACTTGCTCTTTTTGTCCGCTTGCAGGAACATAAAAAGCTGTCTCCGTCATGCACACACCCACTTTCTACTCACATATAGCATCACTTGAGGAAGCTCTTAGCTGGCTCACTATTGACGCGTCTGTATATGTATACTTATATAGCACACACCCTCATCGTGTATTCACTCTTCACTCATAGCGACACTGGAAGATTCGGCGGCAAACTTGATGAGTGTGCAGGAGGTCAAGACATGGGCCAAGTTCACTGTGCAGTACCAGGACTACATCAAGGAGTTTGTGGGCGAATACGACAAGCAGAAGAAGGGATACGAACAGGGTCAAAAAGACAAGACGAAGGAGAAAGAGGGGGGCGGCAAGGAAGGAGAAACTGGGGACAGTGAGGCGAAGAAGAAGGAGTAGATACGGAGCCATTGGAGCTCGTCATACTTAGAACTAGATACTTTCGATATAAATCAAGTCACACCTGATGGTCGTAGGTCAACGATTGGTCATAGAGATACGCGCATATGATGTTGCATGTTTTTGTCTGATATTTTTATCTGGGGGATATGATTCTAGCAGGAAATGGGTTTGCGTTCCAAAAAAAAAAAGCCAAAATTCAAACATAGATTTGTGTGTAGGTGAGGGAACTAAATCACATATCAGCAGCGGGTTCAAAATTCATTGGCTACTGCAATCGTTATGAGTCATGAGTCACGTTCAGTACAAGTGGTTGCGAACTTCCAAAGCAATCGTGGACAGCGAGAACGCACACGATAAACAAATACATGCACTGAGCATTGTGAGTAAACACTCGGGGGATGAGCTGTTTATCCAGTAAAGCTCGAATAATATTTTTCTTCTGGGTACACCGGATCGGAAACTCACACAGTCAGATGGGCGACCTTAAAGCGGTCTCGAGAAATATTTCAACTTTGAAAGCATTCAGAATCGGTTTATTACACTATATTGGGATACTCTCTAAAACTCGAACCGTACGCTAGGGTACTGTACGAGGAACGTATTCGATTTGGTAATTAAAATTAGCATATCGTCCATCATTGGCGAGCCCTCCAATTATGTGACATACTAGCCCTTGACTTCGCACTTGAATCGGGCCATCCCCCATCCATCATTGGCGAGCATGTCAGCTCGTGTTTGATAGCAAAATCTCAATCGTAGAACTCCCGATCCCACTCGACAGTACTACAAAACCAAGACAAGTGGTTATATGTATCCACCCCGGCAGACTACCATGAATTGTACTTTCTGACACTCATTGCCTGGAACAAATAAACGTCGATCTGTCACGATCCGATGCGAACTTCCGTTGTTTCGCGGTTTAAAGCATGCTAAGATCGACATCGGTGCAATCCGGTGTGTATGCTACACACACCCTGATGCGTGCCGGTACCTCTCCGGGCACAGTTTCAGTGGCGTGCATTTAACAGTCTGTCCTCGACCGAACCCGCAACGGTGTACGATTGATTTGTTGCGGATGTTTTGATAACTACAATCAGGCGGTGGTCATACCTCTTCCCCAGATCCGTGCGACCCGATATCGGACACCCTATCCTTTATCTCGACATCAACAACTCGCAATTAAAAAATCCCCACCTCATCATTGTCTCGATATTTCTTCACCCCGAGGTGTCGCGACAATTCGATTTGCGTGCATTCTACTACTACCCTTGCTCGAAAAATGACTACGTGGTTACCGTCCGACTCGAATATGCAGCGTCTGCAATAAACAGCACACGCCATGGACTAACGAGACCGGGGAGAGAGGTTCAGGGGTGAATTGGGTCGAGGCCAATGCCCGGGGCGTGCGAACTGAACCTCGAATGATGTGCCCACTCCACCAACTATGATATCTAGAGCCGAGAATGAGGTTCAAAGGTGTACCGCAGAGACCGTCACGAACGGGAGTGACCCCATCTTCTGCATGGTACTCGACCGACTTGGCTTGATACCACCTCTGCAGTGGTCTGTGGTTCGCGCTGTAAGCTGTTGAAAGAGTTAGCCTTGAAAGTGACTCTTCAAGAGCTTGACCCCTACATACACTTTAGTCCTGTCCAGGTTTGGTGCCGATTAAACTGTGGCCCACAATATACTCTACTCTCGCTTATTCTCGAGAAGTTCATCTCTTACCAACAAACAGCCAATAGACACGCCGTCCTCATCGGAGCATACTCGAGTATTGCGAATGCCACACCGACAGTTGTTGTTGGAAACACTTCAAAGGCCGAGCATGACAGGCTAGGTGGACTGAACCAACATCCTTTGATGTCTGGCTCTAAGGTGATTGTTGTCTGTGAGTGTGTGTACTCTCATCGGTCGGAGCATCAGGGATACGCCGGTTGAGCTCGCCGATCGAAGATTTGCTATGAGAAGCGGCGATACCCCTATGGACGATATAGGCCGGCCTGCAGGAGACCCGTCACTGTAACAAGGCGAGGGATTGTGCATGGGTGTAGAGTGCATATTTAGCTCCCTCTGTTGATCTTTCAAAACGCATACCCGACTCGCAACGCACGCCACAGCACTCAGCCCGAATTCGCTATTTTCTGATTGTGGATTTGGAACCAAAACGTATATCCTGGAGACATATCGATACGCGATTAAACCAAATCTGTAAACACTGAACACGCATTTGTACTGACATAGTTCATCATCAACCGCCACTATGACTCGAAGCTCACGGAACTAAGGTAAACGTCAATAAGTGCTGTTTGATATACAAACTGGCTATAGATCAAATCCTTCAGATACACATCCTGCAAAACGAATCAAGTTCACCAACTATTACTTAGATTCTCGGAAACGAACCCATGGGCACAATTAGACACACAAAAAAAATAAGTATCGATACGCAGACAATTGAACCTACTTCACACCAATGAGCCTGGCGAACGGGTGAACACGAATAACCACTGCTTGAGCTATTTTGTGTACCCGTTGACCATATCGGCCACAGGCACTGCCACTACCAACAACCAGTTATGTATCGTAAACCAACGGTACACTTGTCGTAGATCCATAACCACATCAGAACACATACATGCTCCTGGCACGGGAGTCAACTCCGTCAACTGCTGCTTGAGTGTTCTTAGACTGGCCGTGGACACTGTTAGATGTTCATCGACTGCTGCGGTGATGAGCTTTGTGCGAGTGCCAAAGAAGGCTCTCCACGCACTCAGACCCTCTAAGTAGAAGCTGATGGGATGTGACTGGGCTGTTGCGCTGCCGATGTCCGCTAGAGTCAGCCCTATGAAGTACATCAAGGCAAGTGAAGGTATAGCTTGAGTGGATAAGATGTTCGTTTACTCAGCATTTCTGCGATAATGACGGACTATCTGGTGCATGCCGAATTATACTAGTACTGACTAGATCCACACGTGAGGATCATTTTCAAAAATCCCTGTTAACCGTGTGCGTGATTTGAGGTGATAAAAATAACCAATCAGCACTCCTGCCGCAGCGACAAAAGTCATAGATTGTAAATCGCCACGCAAGTTTGAACGTGATGGAATGCGTCAGCCATGTAGCGCTGCCTGTATTTACGAGTGGGTATCTATATCTAATGAGCATTTGGTATGAATAAAAAACTTAGCTATTCGGGATCTCCATCGATACAGACGGTAATCAAGCGAACTCTCTAACCGTTCGCGCTGACGCGATGCGACTGGGTTGATGCAGCGGTACACTTTTTCCGACCGAACAAGCCACTTTGCTGCCGTCGATAAATCTAGTGCATACCAACATCTCCCTATATACTAATACACGCTAGCTTAGACGCACAATTACAGACTCTTTCATGCACATAGACGACCTCTCGCTAATTGTGTAGAATACCTTCCTGCCGCCGAATATACTGTAGCGCCTTCTCCTCCACATGTTTCGTACTTTCAGCACAGTCCTGAATACTACGCCTGTCATAGACAAATGTATGGCATGGTGTCAGTAGCTGTTAGTGTCGCTCAGAGCTACCTCGTATTGGCCCGTATATGATGAACCGTAAGTCTGACTAATATCTACTGACAGTATCGATCAAAGCTCGTACCAACACAGTGAACAGTAAGGGCAAGTACGAAACACGCATGAACAGCACATAGTGCACCATCGTGTCTGATACACATACACTGTTCAGGAGAGACCTCCAGACCACCAAAACAAGGCAAAGTTATAAATCTCACAGCAGCCTTGGCAGGGCTAACAATGTCACAGTCGCGGGTTCAAAATGCCGAACCGGCTGTGAAGCTACGTTGTTGTGTGATAGACCGGGTGCTAAATAGGTGGGGTATATACACGCGTATACTATAGAGATTGCAAACAATATAAGCACACGCTTGACAGAGTCTTGCGAAAAAGGAAACCGCTCAAAATTCAGACAATAATCAAGAAACTGAAGACCTCAGAGCGCTGGAACTTGTACATTACCGTCACAACGGCCAGTCTGACACGGGGTGTGCACTATATACTGTATTTACGAACACAACAACGTCTCTCAATGGTGCTGGCTTTAACACGCGGACTCTAAAAACAGATCTAAGGGGCTATTCCGTGGACCCTGAACAAAAGCTCCAAGCATGGATGATGTTCACATACAGATCATTTTGTAGAGTGAACGCAAGGTTCTCGTATTGCTGTCGCTGACACATGGAGAGCGCTGTAACGAGTCCTTTAGACTGCAACAGCTTTGTTTCCCGCTGCTCCTGTAAGGCCTGCGAATATGACAGGGACGATGAGGTTGATCGTGTGCTCGCATGTTTCTGTAAAAAGTATACATGTATGTAGTATAAATACAACAGTGTTGCCCTACAAAGTGATGATAGATTACATGAACCTTCGTGGATTTATTGTTCACGTGAACGACACACCAACAGCTATATGCAAATGTACACACAGGGTTATAACCTGTTAGGCATACCTCTGACAGACTAGCGCTCTGCAAAAGTACTATCTGATCCGTCACGTCCATTTGGGAGTCTAGGATATCCATCATGTGCTGAAGTAGAGCTCTCCAATTAGTGTATTGTCCATAAATATCCGAGAATGAGTCTTGCAGCACCGCGTGATGTTTGGATAGATGGTGCCTAGTATGTCAAGAGGTGCGAGTACCGTATCGATATGCAGATGATCGCATAGACGCGAGGTTTCATATATAAACACACGCAGGAATACATAACGAGGCTCAATTCCTTGCTAATCGTCAAGTCAAAGCACATCCACAGATTCACGGATCAATGCAAAGTCACAAACATGCATGAAATATCAAGACACACATCGCATGTGGGATTGAAACAGTTAATCAGTTAAGAGACAATTCCTGGCGCGGCAGCTCAGTTCAGCCTCCAAACGCATGAGGAAGCACTTGGAAGACAGACCAGTAACAGACAGGGAGCATGGAATTTTACAGACGTAGATTGTGTTTTTGAAACGAGTATGAGAGCATGCTTATATATTTTATAAATCACTATATACATATATATATATATATATATATATATATACTAATATTAATATATATATATATATATAT